GGTATGTTTGAGTTACTGTACCAACCACTATAAACATCTGTGGAGCTCCCTCTACCACTGATTCCTAGGTATGTTTGAGTTACTGTACTAACCACTATAAGAATCTGTGGAGCTCCCCCTACCACTGACTCCTTGGTATGTTTGAGTTACTGTACTAACCACTATAGGCATTGGTGGAGCTCCCCCTAATCCTCGCCAGAACGCTGCTGATTCCTTGTCTTGAACTTCCATGTGGATCTCTGCTTTTCCTTTCCTTTCATTCTTATTAATTTTCTCTGCTATAAGTCTACAATAAAAAGAAAAAATATTTCTTAAGCAAAAGAAACTTAACAATTAAATGTTATTTTTGTGACCTACTGACCTTAATACCACAGTAACCTTCAACATTAACTCTGATCCAAACAATCTACCTTAACCATGTAATGCTATTCCGGACTTGTGAAATACAGTATAACCTGAAACCTATCCAAACTGGTCTAAATTGAAAACAAACAAATAAACATACTGTTCGATATGAAGAAGAAGTCTCGGCAGACTTACCGTAACAGTAAAATGTTTCTTAGAAATTGACACTACAAGAAATTTCTTACATAGAAATCGGTTAACCAATCAAAATTTTATGCAAAATATGCAAGCATCACATTGACAATCTGTCAAAATTTAGCACAAGACTTGCCAACATGAATGTATATACAGAATTCGGACAGTATTGATGTGCACACCAAATTTAACTCACACACTGCATATTTTATACACCCTGTGTAACGTACACAGGATCATGAATTAAACAGGGCGAAAATATAATGTTTCAGTATGATCATTAACCGTCTATTAACACACACAATATCCTGATATTACCATCATATACAAGATTAATTTCCTGCATGAAGGTTTAAATGGGTTGGGGACAACGATTAATGCTGAAGAAGTGTTCTTACCTTGTCTTTGTTTTGGTGACTGCTTTAGATGTCTTTCCCACCCAGATATATATGTTGACACCAGTATCCAACATGAACACAAATCTGCTATCCAAAGATAAAAACTCTGGTAAACACTGAAAAAAAGAAAGATTTTCTT